CTCGAGTGTCAAGAGGGGAGAACCTGAAAAAAAATCCAGTCGGCAACAAAGAAGAAAGTGTATAACGGAAGGAAGAGAGGGAAACGTGGAGGTGGACGACGAGGATGATCCGGAAGTCGTCGACTCCTATTATCTAGAGAAGATTCGGGTTTATGAAATGATGACTCGTGCGATAAACAACAAGTAAAAATTTAAAAGCCAGCCGTTACCAATTTTATTTACCCGGATTGTTGTCCGTTGCTTGACTCTGTGGAGGAGATGGCAATTGCAATTGAATCACTAAACAATACGTGGAAGAGAACAACGGGACATCATTACGGGAGAGAGAGACACCATATGCTGGATTTATGTATGCCTAATATTTTTTCGTGGTGGCAGAAAAACTGGTCTAATAATTTACCTTCGTGGCGTGGCGTTGTTGGGGTTGAAACTGAAAACAAGAAGTCACTATTTTACTACGAAGCGAAGCTTTTTTGTGGCACGCGTCCCCAATTAACGTTTCGATACACGACATGATGATGAGAATAATGACGAGTGTGGCACCACGGCATGTACGCACACAGTGATATTGAAATCCGATCATGCTATGCAGTACCGCAATTAATATGTATCAGAGTATAAATTGAAGCAATTACATAGTTGTGCGAAAAATCAAGTTTTACGACAAAAAAACTGGATAAAATCCAATCCACTCATGAAAGTATTGATTGGAACTTCTTGGGAAATATGAGATTTCAGATGTCATTTTGCCATTTTATCACTTTCGTTGCCGTAATTAAATATGTACAACTATTTCACTGCACTGTACATGCATGCATATCTACTATTCAATTCATGTTAGGATTTGCATGTACATAAAATAAAATTCATGAAACCATGTTTCGCCAAGCCACTGCTACACATACACAAATTAAAGCAAAAAGTTATGCGAAAATCATTGATACCCAAATTTTACGACCAACTCGCTAAAATCCACTACATGAAATTATTGATTAGAACTTCTCGGGAAATGTGAGATTTCAGATGTCATTTTGTCACTTTCGTTGCCGTAATTAAATAAGCAACAACTTGTTCCCTGTGCTGACTGTGCGTGCATATCCACTATTCAATTCATGTCAGGATTTGTATGTACATAAAATGCATACAACAACACCTCTCCAACTGCACATTCCACAAAATTCCCATCATTACTGTTTATATATGCACACATTATGCATTCCCAGCAGTCCATCACCTAACTAACACCTACTCGTGTTATTAAGGTAACATAATAATAAGTAATGAACGTGTCATGCAGTTCGTAGCAGCAGCAGTACAGAGTTCAACCGAGGATGGAATTGGGTCGTCTGCGTGGGATGAGTCATTCTTAAAGGGCAATTATTATCATTTCTGTTCCCACTTTTGTGCAGGTAGGTCATGTTTCCATTCGTATCTCTGCTGCTGCTGCTGCTTCCTTCCCAAAAAAATTGGACCGAATCGGGCAATCAGACTTGTAAAAAAATATAGACTTGGTTGGTCCGTTGGCGGGGATGAGTCGGTCGGACGCGTGGCGTGGCGTGTGGGGTGGGGGATGAGTGTCTGTTATCATTATCCAATCCACGACGCGTCTTCCTTCCGGATTCCCTCACTTCCGGGAGAAGAATATGAGTCAAGCAAGCTGCACCTTTTTCGCTTTGTTTTCAATTTCAATCCGTCGTTCACGCCTTAATTCGACCAAATGCCAGCCAGCCAAGAACCACATGCATGCACGTAGGGCATCAAAATGTATGTAACGAATCATGGGTTAATTGTGGAAGAGAGAAAAAAATCTGTGGTTGGTTTGGTGGATGAATCGGTAATTTACCGGAATCCCGAATCCGGGTTGATTTCACTTCATTAATCATCTTTTCATTAAAAATGTGTTGTCAGCTCCGCAGTGTTGACAGGCCGAGTTCTTTTTAATTTGTTTTATTTTTTACGGACGTGTACACAAAAGTGATGCTGTCGTAAAAGTTGCCATTTTATCGGACAGATCCACTTTTCACGCATGTTCTGTGCTCCTGCTGGAGATGATACGTACGTATGAAAAAGAACAACTGGTGGCAGGCAAGCGAGGAAGAAGATAAGTGTACTCGAACCACCAACTTATTTAATTTCTTGGTGGAATCGAATAATAATGGATTGGATAAAAATCAGCAAGATGTTCGTTCGTTCGTACAAATATCTGAAACGAAGCGGCGTGCCAAACTCGTTTTTCTACATTTGTGTACAAGAAAAAGAGGCAGATGGTTTATTATCAGCAACATATTTCTTCATTTCACAGATTTGCAGGCGGGTGGATGTGGACGTGGAGGTCCGAGGGACGAATCATGCTCCAGATTCGCTTAATTATGATTATTTCGCTAAGAAGAAAGATTAAATAAGTAGGAAATGGGAAATCCTTTGTTTTCCTTGGTTGATTGACTCGGCAAAATTTTTGTCTTGACTTTTTTTTATCGAGACGTTCAACGTTATATGGCAGATGTTTTCTGGACTGGATTTCATTGTATTTTGTAATTTAGTTTTTTTAAGAAAAGTCGTATTTAGGCGAGGAAAGGAAAGGTGCGGGTGCGGGTGGTGGTGGTGATTCAGATGGAGGAGAGGAATTGTGTGAAGTGGATTGCAGGTGATTCTTTGTGGAATCGTCATCTTTGGAAAAATTCCCATTATTCATACAAATGCAGGAATCAGACGACGACGATCAAGAAGACGAGACGAGACGAAGTGAGGAAGCAGAGAGGAAGTTTCTCGTCACATTGTTGTTGGCAGGGATAATTAATGGGTTTCTTGTAAGATGAAAATTATGCGTGTGCAAAAATTACTTGAAGTATGCAATTAGTATTTGCAATTTATTAAGGAAGGTATGTGTGCAAATCATGAATTGTTGTGTGTGTAAGTATTACACTAGATGAGACGCATACATGAGGCGGACGGGGCATCTTGAGATTGTGAGACTAGTCCACTCGTCGTATCTTGTTTTGAGGCAACTTGAGAAAATGCGATGATTTACATGAGAATGAGATTAAGATTTGTTTGGTTGGTACATAATCTTGCCATCAAAGCTGGAGGACATGGTCAAAGTATTACGCACGCATTTCTTGTGCTCCTGGATTTTAAAATCCATTACATCTGTTGTCACTTGCGAGAATAGATAAATATGATTTCGGAAGAGTGGATTGGACTAAACTGATTGGAAAACCTGGACCCAGTTTTCGCGTCAGGTGGCTGGACTGGATTACATTTCATCCCGACCCGACTGGAGACTAATGGAGTTCACTTTTCGACTAAATCGGTTCAACTCATTGTTTATCAAACCACCAAAAAATTCAACCCCACTTATTACCCATGATATACCCTCCATATAGAATTAGACACACTATACGACACCCTCCTCACAGAATCTGCCACTCATCATCACATCACATCATTCACATCACGACTCGTAAAAAATCCACCAATCTCGCATTAAATAGTAAAAAAAGTATCGATTTCTTGCCTATCTGGACATATTCTAAATCTCAATTAAGCTACATGACCCGAAAATCCGGTAAGATTTGACATTTGTAAATTTTTTGGGAAATCCACCCTCACATTGAAAAAAAAGCCAGACCCGTTCTTTTTTAGGATGGACGAACCCTTTAGTTTGGGGTGAAGGGCATGTGTGCAGGTAGTAGAATTTTATGTAGTGGATGGATTTTCTGTAAAAAGAGCACATGGTCTCGCCGTAAAACGGACCACGTATCATTATCCAATCCCCACGGATGAGCCCTTCTTCTTGTGCCGAATGAAGAACGCGAGTCGTGGAGGAACACTTGGATCGACAGAATGTTGGCGTACGCCAAACACGCTCCAATAACAATGCAACTGTTCGTCATCACTTAACACGGGGTTGGTTTGGTTGGGATTCACCCTAAAAAAACTACCCCAACAGCTACCAAACTGATATGAAGGAATACATAACCACCTACCTAATCACTTTCATACTAGCCGATATTCCAGCCCTAGACACGAGCAGTCCTCAGGTAAAAAATACATATATGTAGGGCTTGTTCTTGTCCTAAGGACAAGAACTAGGTATGATTTTGTTCTTATTTTATACGGGTACCCAGAAGGGACAATCATATTCAGTTGAAAAATGTATGCATACGGTTTGTCCTTTTCCTAAGAACAATTACTACAATATTCATATATTGACATGATTTTTGTCCTTATTTTATTTGCCAGGAACTGCTGATCTTGCCCGTCATTAATCAAGCGGAAAAATAAAAATAAAACATAATCGGTTTATAAATATGACAAAAATAAATATGCAGAAAATATGAAAAATGTCATCTTACGACAAATTTAATATTTTATGAATCATGGCTAGAAATCAGTTTAGAAAGAACAATCATCAATTAGAGCTTAATTTTCATACAAGCCGTGTCGTAAATCATACCCAAATAAATTAAAGCTTTTGTCTCTGATTGCAGTGCAGGCGAAAAGAAATCAATGATCAAATCAAAATCATGAATGTAAATAAAATCATGGACTGGATCGCAGTTGTAAAATCCAGTCTTATCCTCGACTGAATCTGATCGATATATTTATTTACGTGAGGAGAGAGATCCCTCTCATTTACAATTTACAACCAATATATCCGATCCAACCCAATATAATTGTCCAGTCCAGTTTACCTGGATTTCGTTCCTGCATCCAGTCCACACTGTAAAACACAATATGTGTAATCTGCTTCTCCGATATCCAATCCCATCCCAAAATCCAATCCAGTCCCGATGCTGATATGCACAGTCCAATCCTTTATATTTTCTGCTCTGTTTTACGTTCTACCTTTTCCACGATGATGATGAGTGAGTGAGTAATAATGAGTTTTTACGGGGAAAACGTAGGAGAGGGTTAAACGCTATTATGCGTTAAAAAGTTGAGATGAATCCCACTGACTACGAAGCAACCACTTTTGTCTCCCTCACTCACCGTCGAGCCAGTTTATGTAGTTTGCTGGCCAGGTGAAGTTTAGTTGTCTTCGTTCCTTGTCTTCTTTCGTCTGCTGCTCACCTGCTGCCTTTTAAAACCTTTTGAAAAATTCAGCTCATCACTCACTCTTCCGCGGTCGGTCCAGTGTTATGGTTCGTATCGTGGGGCTGCTGCGGTGTCCACTAGAAAAAGAGATCATTGGAAAAAGCCATTAACCAATTAAGTACGACTTTGTTGTTCGAGAAACATTTTGTGAGGAGAGAAAGTTATTGTGAGAAGAAGAAGAAAGGAGTCGATGGGATGGACACGGGCGGACTTTTAGTGACGAACACGACGACGACGACACTCCTTCGACCACTACCAATTATAATGTCCGTCTCAATCCAGAATAATCAGCACAAAAGCGGCACCAACGGTAGAAAAGGTGAGAATTGTATTTGGCATCTTTTTCATACGGTAAAGTACTTTTCTTTCATGACGAGACACTCTCAGCGAAAGCACTACTTGGAATGAAATGGCTTTTTTGTTTGATTTTTTTACATGGAGAATAATATTGGTAATCTTCTTAACGGGTAAAGTATATCAGGACGTGTATGAGAGAAAGCACATGTATGTATGTACACCTGAGGATATGTACGTGTATCTACCGTAAAACTGGAGTATAAAAGTCGTGTCGTCTCATTTTCCCCAAATTGTTGCATGCATACTTTCTCCTCTGTTTATTATAAACTTGTTGAAGTCTATGTATGAAAATACGTAAATATCCACTTATTTTCGTACAAACATGACGCATCCTCAGCAATATTCTTGACCTGATACAAAAATAGGAGAAAAATAATTACGACAATTTCACATAATTGTGTATCCTTCCTCTTTTCTGGTACAAATACAAATCTACCTTGACTTTAGCCGAGTACTTATTCTATATTTAAAATAAATTAGACCGTCTGACCAAAAACCGTATATACATATCTGCATAAAATATGGATAAATTCCTTCAATTACGAAATATTAAACCATGATACCCGGTGAATTGTCTAGTATTTGGCAACTTTTCACTTAAATCTTGACCGATCGTATGTCCTTTAACTCAATCAGGATTACGTATTAAAAGTGGTGGTGGTCGTCGTCCGAAAATAATGAATAGACGTACATGCATGCATAATTTTGAGTATGTGTACGTACTCTACCCCCCGGAAATTATAGCAGGGGAAAGGTCGCTATGCTGGATGCGGGCATAGATAAAAGAGAAAGTAAAAGGATGGCCTGCCTCGTATTTGGTGGCGGTGGTGGTTTTGCTACGACGAGTAGGAGTAAACGGTTCTTAAGTAGTTTTTCCACTTGGGGTTTGTGAGCTGCTAAATAATTCACGGAAATTGATTTAATGATTATCCCTCTAAATGTTTCCCACTTTTATTGTGGGATCCTACTTCTGGTATGTATGGCTGCGTATGTTACGAGAGACAGGAGGGCACTCGGCAGCGTAAGTATGTACAGTCGTTGTCCTGACTGGATTGGGGTCGGGTGGTCATTTCTTCTAGTGAGGGTTGATTTTCCTCGGTGTTTTGGGGTGGCTTAAATCAGAGCAGTTTTTCCTTTTTTTCGGGATAAATTTCCGGAACAGGTTTGTGAGTTAATTACTTTTTGGATTTAAGAAATTTTCGGCCCGGAGAAAGTTGAGATTTTTTGGTCAACCTGAGATTTGAGCAATTATTTATTCTAACTTTCTTATTGCGTCAGCAAGAATGAGCCTACCCTAAAAATAATTTGCGCCATAATTGAGTTCATCTATTCATTAAAGAGGTTTATTAATAGGGGCGGCATTACCCGGAATAGAAAGGTCACAATCAAGGCGAACAATCAGGTTGGGTATGTCGGGTGGGTTTCGTCCTATTAAATATGCACTAACCTATGTATGCGTATGTACATATGGAATGAAAGGAGAGCGAAACAGTAGGCAGTGTATCGCAGGAAATTGATTTAAATCGGGAAAATATAAGCTATGTAATTGTGATTTCGTGAATAATAATCCAATCAAGTTTAACTTTTTGCGTACGTGCCACGAAAGTTGAGACGGTACCTATTTACGTTTTACGTAAGCACATAGCCACGGGTCACAGTCGTGGGTACCTTTCTGGGCGAGAGTCAAGTCTCTATTTTGGCGTCTCAATTTTATTCCTAAATCAAAATATATACTTTTATTTATTGAAATTTTTGTCAAATTTTTGTCAACTTGAAAAAATGTATTACAACAGAAACCATTTCATGCAGGGTGAAAACGTCCCTTATTTTTTGGGGAGATTTGGTAAATATTACTGCAAAATCAGATTGAAAAAGGATGACCTTAGTTATTTATTTTATATATTTTTGTAGTTATTCTTGTCACAAAAAATAGTGCCAAACGGCTAAAACCCTGTAATTTTGTTGCATACAGGTTCAACTTCCTCCTGGACGTCGACCTCCTCCCACTCGTCCTCGTCCTCATCGGCCCTCACCCACTTCAAAAAGGCCCGAGCCGCCCAGTACCTCGAACTGGAGCAGCAACTCCGCAGCACGGAATCTCATCTCTCCGACCCCTGTTCCCCACCCCCCGGAAGTAGAAATAAGGACACCACGCCCAACCTCCTCCTGCAGCGGTACCTCTCCCTCAGCCTGCACAACCAGTCTGCTTCCCCCAACAAATGGTGTCCCTCTGGTCCTGGTGGAAGTGGTGACCTTTGGCGTAGTCACACCCCCACCATCACAACGGACGACCACCCCCAACCCCCCTCGCACCTGCTCGTCTGCCCCCCACGCAAAAAACTCCTGGGATCCATCTCCTCGCCCGCCTTGACGGATTTGGACTCCTCCGTCTGCTCGGCGCAGTCAAGTCCGCATTCGTTGGTCGGGTCGCCGCGTGGCTTGGGGGGAGCCTGGGCGCCCTATTCCCTCTTCTTCGCCAACTTTGCGGCAAGAAATAGTACCACCACCAACAAGTCTAACGCGATGAAGGGTGCTAATGGAGGAGGTGGAGACGACGAGGAAGGTGACGGTGTCAACATTGCCCCGATAAATTACTGTATCAAGGAAGAAGTCGAAATCGACCAGGAAAACGGGTACAAGATGAATCTGGGACGGAGCGGTGGTGCTTTTCGGCGGAGTCGGAATGACGTCGTCGTCCGCATGGAGGAAGATGACGACGACGGGTCGAATGACGGTGAGTCTAACTGGCGAACTAAATATTTAGCTAATTTCGCTTATGCAATCGTAAATAGTATCAATTTCTGCGTCATCTCATCATATCATTCATACTGCATAATAATAATGCATCGTCACTTATGACGACGACGACTCAACGATCGATGCGATTACTGGACTTTAGAGGATAACTAATGGCTTGCTTTCACTTTGTAAAGCTTTTTTTCGAACTGCGCTGCAAGAAATGTCATGCGTCTACTCCTGATTTTGATTTGGACAGGCTTTTTGTCCATACATACATCGTCGTTGTCCGTAATAATAAGCGTGGGATGGGCGGCATGCAGGCAGGCAGGATGGATGGATGGAAAAGTGTCTCGTGAATAATTAAGGGAGCTGTAAACTCTTGAGATTTCCTTCCACTCAGTCACCCACCATTACTTACGTCGAATAGCCTCGATACTCAATAAGTGCGCTTTCAATTATTAAAATTTAATATGCTGATTGATAGCTTGAGCCACGCGAGGCAGGGAACCCAAAGCAAACTTTTCCTTCTTCGTCTTCTTTATTATTATCCTTCCCGGACTCGTCGGGCAACTGTTATTTGTCGGATTGGATTCGATTATTATGCAAATATTTGAAATCTAGGCTGGGCTGGGAAAGAGGGGACGGGAGACATGCATGCACGGCCGCATATTTATTTACGCATTTACCTGGAAATAATATTTGTGCAGGAATTGGTGATAGTTTCGGGTTGGAAATGAAATTGCTAATTCGTTTAAGTATTCATATGCATAAATAAATGGGGGCAAGATTGGTTTTGGTTTTGCTCTTGTTGTTTTTGGGAGAAAGTGAGGAGAATTGCATTCACAAAATTTTGAAAGTTTTCATCAAGAAGTTATGTACGAGAGGAATGATACCCCAATTTAATTATTGATGGAGAGACTTGTTTTGATTACTTCGTGGCATGTGGAACCTATATTATTACAGAGGTAAATCGCGACATTTATGTATTAATTGTAAGACGAGTGACACAACAAGGACTCGTGTTTTGTGGCTTGTCAACTGGTTTTGAGACGAAGTAGACAGTCTGTGGTTCCGTGCGGGTTTGCTAGATTTTTTTGCACTGGAAAGGAAAAAATGCTAGAAATGGGAGGTGCAAGAAACTGGGAGAAAGTGCAAGAAATTTGTGCTATTTAGCCACGCGCAGTATGAAGTATAGCGGCGAGAAGGAGTTTCTTGTGCCTTGCATTTCTTGCAGGTCAAAATAGCTGCAAAAAAACACTTTCTTGCCCTTATTTCTTGCAAGTGGTTAATTCCACAAAAAAGACTAGACATAGAACTGAAATTCGGATAATTTTTGCTGGACAACGAACGAGGTTACAAAGCACTTGAAGCAATCCAATTTCCGACGATGGTTACATATCCGATGGTATATCATCATTCAATTCAAACGTCCATTTAATTTTGATTTTTAGGTATCTGAAAAGCATGGAGTTTTGTTACCGAACAAAAATTTTATTTCCCGATTTTATCGACGAGTTCGAATTAGAGTTTGGCTTACGTTGACGCAAAATACATATTTATGTGGCAAATGGCAAATGGCAAACTTGGTATTGTTATTCGCCTCGTTTTCGCAATGAAAAACAACAAAGGAAAAACAGTGGTTGGAGGGGGAGAAAGGTTGTTGTTAGTTGCACACGGTCTGGATTTTCTTTATGTAAACGACCGTCGCACGTACTCAAAACAAGAAGGCGACATTATTACAGGACAGACAGATAAATAGGAGAGGACCCCAATTTAACCTCCATTTGCGTAATCTGTATTTCCCGTTACACTTTTAATGAGAAATGTCAAGCCTAATTTGGTAACAATAATAACACTTTGAACTTAATTAATAAAGAGCGTCGTGGTATAATTCAAATGTCAAATTGGAAACGGGATAAATTTTCATAAACTTGGGAATTTTCTCGGACATAACAAAATTTTTTCGGAGAGTTCAAAAAATATTTTATTTGACTAGAGTTACGAATTTTAACAATAAGTAATTTTCGCCAAATATTCGCCAATTTTTTTCTACTGAGTCAAACAAATATTTTATTCGGTCAGGTTTACGAATTTTACAAGAAATATTCGCCAAAGTTCAGACATGTAAGCATTCTCTAACGAATTTAGTAACAATCACAACAGTTTTAACTTAATTAATCAAGAGAGTCGTAGCATAATTCAAATTCAAATTGGAAACGTCTCACAATTTCATAAACTTAGAATTTTCTCGGACATAACAAAATTTTTCCGTCAAGTCAAATAAACATTTTATTCGTAAACAGGTACGAATTTTACAGCAAATATTCGCCAAAGTGCAGGCATTCTCTAACGACGACGACGAGACGACGATGTAGATTACATCATTATGTATCATCGTCATCATAACCATTTTCTTTTTTCCGTTGTCCAATTGTCATTCCCATTTCCTGCTCGGTATTGGAAAGCAAAACACTTTATTCTTCATATGAGTATTGCTTCGTAGGTAAACAGTCCATTTATTTCTTGAAAATCGGGGCCAATACGTACGTACGTAATCAGTTCCTGAATACTGTACACCAACCAGAAATCATGTGACTCATCTAAATCTCCGATTAATAATGCAAATGAAAATGCTGCCTCGTTTCCTCATTACTCTTGAATGAAGTGCACTTTCTCCCCTCATTGAGTCGCCCGTCGATTCGGATATCTCATCAAATTAAGATTTCTTCTTGATAAATCGCTGTTTTGGAAAATACTTTCCCAATCAATCAGATTGATGTCAGTCTTCTGATGAGTCCTATAAAAAGGCAGGAACTAATTAAATGGCAAATAGAGAAAGTAGTGTCTCAGGGGTAAAATGAGACACCTAAAAACCCATTACTTCCTTACATATTTACATGGGAAATACCACCTCTGCAAAATGGGAACTTAGCCCTTTAGGTTGGCATTTGGTTTTTATGAATAATTGAGAGAGAAAGCTTTGCATGACATGAAATGATCGAAATCGAACGATGAGTTTCCTTTTTGGATGGATGGTTTATAGGCAGTCAGTCATTCAGCGTGGTTCATTTGTTGGTTTGGTAGTCAATCCAAATCCAAGCTGGACTAGACTGGAACAGATTCTCGTACTCGTACCTTTACACCAAATTACTTATTTACCCTTCCACCTCCTCCTCCTTACGTTGCCTTTACCGACCGTGGTGGGTGAGTGAGTGAGTTAGGCGAGGTGTTTTCGGGACACCGAAGGGATGTTGCTGGGTTGATGATAGTTCGATTCGATTGCTTATGTTGTCGGTGGAGAGGAGAGAGAAAGAGATGGACATGCAATTATTATTGGGGGTGGTGGTGGTGATGGTGGTGGGTAAGCGTTGCGTCGTTACGTTCGGTCGCCATATGGCGTCGTCGTTGTGAAATGAAATGAGAATAATTGACAGAGGGAAGGGAAGAGAGGAGGAAAGGATTGCACTGCATATGTATCTAGCACCCTAAATCATACTCATATTAATACGGATGGATTATCTCTTCTCTTCTTTGTGTGTAATCCCGGAAATGACAATTATGCTAAATTTATGCAAGGCAGGATCAATACTTGATAAAAAAGATGTCCACTTCGTCTAATGACTCTTGATTTGCAGTAGAAATTACTTTACCCTTCAAGGAAATGCTTGTACTTTTTGCTGGGTGAAGATAAAAGTGGTTCATTGCATACTAGAAATTTCGAAATTTCCAAAATTTTCTCAGAAAATTCAGAAATTTCTGATCGTAATTTTACCCTTCTACTTTTCAGACATGCCTTTAAACCTGAGCCTTAAACCGGCCCCATCCGCGACCGGGTCACCGCAACAGGGTCCCCTCCCTCCAACAACAATGATGCTAAGTAACCACGGGGTCTTATCCCATCACCGGTACCACCACCAAAATTATCATCACAACAACTCCTCGTCCTCCTCGTCCTCCTCACCCACGACAAAGCTGTCCATCGATCTCCCCCACAACCCTCAAGCCAGTCCTGGAATCTGGTCACCCGCCTCCGTCCTCGAGGAGGAAGAACAACGCCGTCGACTGCACAACTACATTTTGACCTCGCATCTCCTCAACGCGCAGCAACAGTCGCAAAATACGTCGACAAGTCCCATTTTACAAAACTCTCTGCAACAAATTACCTTGCCTGGTGGTACGATAACCAAAGATAACGTGCACGGAATTACGGTGACGAATCTGAAAAAGGAACATCCTTTAATGGACGCTTTAATCTCAACGAGTGGGCAGAGCAACGGTGCCGGTGGAATGTTGGACCCGCACCATTTGCTGGCAGAATCGGCGTCCTCTTCGGCTTCCTCTCCTACGGCGACAAACGTTAAGAAAAAGGGGACGAAAAAGTCGGGAAATTCGCCACGAACTTTTCAGGTGTGTAAAAATGATTTGAAATTGAGTGAAATAATTGAATTTTGTGCTAATTTTTGGAAATTTGATCCGTGCAGTGTAACCAGTGTGGGAAAGCGTTCAAAAGATCGAGCACCCTGTCGACGCATCTTCTCATCCACTCGGACACCCGCCCTTTTCCCTGTCCATACTGTGGAAAATGCTTTCACCAAAAGAGCGACATGAAAAAGCACACGTACATCCACACTGGAGAAAAGCCGCACAAATGCCAGCGTAAGTTCGTCATAAATAAATAGTTGAACAATTAATAATTAATTATCCTTCTTTATTATTTTCCAGTGTGTGGAAAAGCGTTTTCCCAGTCTTCCAACCTCATCACCCACTCGAGGAAACATACCGGCTTCAAACCGTTCAGTTGTGGCTTGTGCTCGCGTGCTTTTCAGCGAAAAGTTGACCTGCGACGCCACATGGAGACGCAACACTCGGCCGAACCGGAGAATACTAGTTCAAACTATGACGACTCCCCATCCACGACGGGGGGTGGGTCTCCCCCCTCCTTCAACTCGGATAACGACTCCTCCACGACCAGCCCGGCACAGCACGGGGTCAAAGTTGAGAGCAGTTGTGTTATCAAGGATGAGATTGACGAGTCAGAATAAAATAGAGACCACCAGAGACTAAAAAGAGGTTTAGAACTACATAATTACAAATTATTCGATAGTATTATCAGTTATTTTATTAACGACCAAAAACCTAATCCGTCCAAAAAATCTTGCCCTTGACCCAAAAATCGTTACATCCATCCAAATTATTTAGTGTGAAAAAGTTGACCAAGAAAAAAAACTAGTTTATCAATTATTGTGCCTTGATTAAACTTTTGACCTTTGAAGAAAAGTTACGTAATACGTATTGATGTGCGAGGTGAATTTATCTAGTGATGAGTTTAGTCGGGTGGAGAAGGTTTTAGACAGATTAATGTTTAATTAGAGTCATGATACGATGCATATTTAGGTTGTTGTTGGTATGAAATTGTGCGAATTTAGTATCGACGTGGCGTGTGGACGCATGACCAGTAAGTATTTCCTATTAATTAATTAGTAAATATTCGTAGAGGTTGACATATCTAGATTAAAATTGTTATTTGACTAACAAAATCGAATAATAATTAAAAGCAACTTTATGATGCCATTTACCTGTAAATTATTAACTTGCCGCACAATTAGAAATGATTAATTATGTAATAATTCTGAAAAAAACTAGGTCACTCTAAAAAAATATGTACCAAAATGAGCACAGAAAATGCACCTGCCTATTTAGTTCTCGAGTATAATTCAGTTAAATGATCACACTCTTCACGAGATTAAGGTTTTAAGAAATTATCGATAAATACGAGAAAACCCTTCGATTCATTAGATTAGTAGTAGCAATTAATTAGTTAATTAATTAGTAGTAATTGTACCTCCATATTTTTAATTTTTGGTTCATTTATTTTAAGATAATATAACCTAAAATATGAGAGAAAACGACCACAAACTCGAGAATGGGAAAAACTTATGCTTATCATTGTACCATATCATCCATCCCACCGTAGTGTTTAATTAATACGGGATTAGCACAACACCAAACAAAGTACATAATATTTAATTTTACGCTATTTTTATTTGTAATATTATGTTAATTTAATAATTATTTTATATTTTATACATTACAAAAATGACGCTTGAAATCCAAAAAGAAAAGGATTAATTCCATTTTATGTAAAGCACTTGCTCAATTTTGATAATTTTTGCTCATTAGATTCTAGTTTTTTTTTAATTAAATTAATTTTTAAGCATTAAAACCACTGTTACCTTTGAGAAGCGAAGAACTTTTTTTAATACAAGTAATTCAATATAATTTATGCAGATTATGCAGATTTGTCCGCTAAACTACATTTACTGGACATTTTGAAATAATCTTGAAGTATGAAATGCTTATGAAAATTGAAAAGTGATAAACAACCACGTTGAATGAATCGGATAACAATAGTTTCATCTTTTTTTTTTATTGTTACATATTTATTTATGAGTCAATCGCAGTAGTTAAAAAAATAATTAATGCATTTCTTCATGCATTCGACGATGATATTATATATAAAAAAACACACAACACGTATTTGTATATTTTTTGCACCAAAGTAAATAAAAAAACTTATTAAACCTATGACAAGCATTATGATCAAGTTATTAATGGATTAAATATTTTTGAACATATTCACCCTCCAGATTTTATTTGTGGAGAGATAACCCCATAAATTCTGGAAAGTTGCATTGTAACCCGTGTTTGGAAATCTGGTAGTGACAGTGTTTAGAAAAATTAGTGACTCACCGATGCCATAAATTAAAAAAAGACTTGAAGTAGTGTCCTATCATGACAGATTGCAGCGGGTTGAGTAATATGATAAACTGGATTTTATGAGGGTTTAACTGTACTGCAATAAATCTGTCATTGCATGAATGGCTGATTGGATACGAGAGCATGTATTTAATTGAGGTTAATTTTTCTGGGATCAATTATTGGTTTGAGCAACTGGGTGTTCCGAGGATATTCATCGGTATTCCAAAAAAAATCTGCAATAAATTAAAATGTGAATTTTGGCATGAAAGGATATTGTAGTTTGTATGAAATTTACTTACGTATGTATTTGGCGACTATAGAAGACGCGGTGTCAAAGGGGTCTTCCTCCCTGGTTTTTTCCTATAATGGCTGACAGGATTTTTTTGTAAATGAGAGCTTTTGGCAGAAGCGTGACGAATCCCTTGAATAACTTGTGTAGTAAAATCTGTTCCACGCAGATCATCTGGGGGAAGATATGCTTGAAGTTTTTCGGCAGGTCTGTACGAAGTTGGGTCGGTTGATTCTTGCTCGTCTGAAATTGGGGACATTGGGGAGGAAGGGCGCACTGTCAAAATTCCAGGTGGACCGGATGATGAAGTTTCGTTCGACGATAATTCAGTATCATGTGCTGGTGGATCAAAATGAATTACTTTAAAGACGTCAGAATCATCATCGTCTATCGTTGGGTGTGGAGCGTTTGAACTATTGGTTGATTCGTCATGATGATGGGGTTGTTCTGTTATAGATGCAAAAATATTTTTAAAAATTTGAACACTGCAGAGCTTGGTTAAGTACATACCTGATACTGACTCGTCAATAAATGAATCGAAATGTATCTGCTGCCATTCTCCTGGGTTTGAGGAGCCATTTTCATCTTGTAATCGAATAAATGTATCGAGTAATTTTGAAGCAATTTCCTTTTCCCGTTGTGTCACTGGGAGTGTTGCAGGATTTTGAAAATGCGACGGAAACTTTCGCCTGCACATTGAGGTGAACTCGGAACATATGCGCAAAGCAGAACTTGTAGGTTGTTGTGGCTTCGGTACCGGGTCGACTTTGGCGTTAGGAGTCGTTGTGCCACTAGTTGGAGGCGTATAAAATTGATCTAAAACAATAGTACAAATTTTCGCGATTGAATAAACTGTGAATGCAAATATTTTACAATATTCAAACTCACAATTTGAGGCTAATATATTGAAATCACAACCCAGATTCAATTTCGGAATGGCTGACGAAAGGAGAGATCCGCTCGATTTATGAAGGTCACTAGATACAAAATGTAAATAACATATTTCAGAGTTTGGAGGTGCGGTCCAGGTCGGATTTTTCAATAATTTGCGCATAATCCAACTCCAGCTATCCTTAAATCTGAAAAGTACAAGTGAGGAAAGACTTTACGAACAAATAAAGTTATCATTAATTTTTATACTAAATCGAATAATTTTTAACTCACTTATGGAACCATATCGGACGTGATTTGCATGGTTGGGCAGAACGCAGTCGAAGAGAATTATCGTCGCATCCGGGAATTATACATCTGTAAAGATTAAAAAATATATTCATAGATTTGAATTATTTTGAAATATTTAGGTAGTATTTTGTTGTAATTACTTATTGTTTGTATTCGTTTTTTGTCCCTGCGTTGGTGTAGGATTAGGTAATCTGAGATTAAGAGTTGGGGTTCCTTTCACTTGTTTTACCCAATTTCCATTAAGAAAATTAAAATAAATTTGTTCCTCCGCGAAGTGGATGGAGCAAATTCGATCAGATTCGTCTGGATTCCAACTTTCAGTCTTAAGAGCGGCACGAAGGGTTTGTATCCATCCAGGTCGCAAACGTGCATCCTCGTCCCTGAAATTTCATGTATGATCAAACTACATTGAGATCTACCATGAATGATATTTAATCAAGTAAAAAAAGCATAATGCATTACCGAAATGAAAACATTGTTTCAGATGGATTAGGCCGATTTAGATTATTTGGACAATTTGGAATTGTACATCGAACAAAGTCGTCTGCCCTGATATCTTCGTTATCCAGACGCAAAGGGTCCTCTAGTTCCTCTTTGACGTCTAAAATTAGATTTAAATCATCCAGGTTAAAGAAGTACTTAAAGTTACGCATGGTATGACAATGGGACCGCAGATAGGAAAGAGTATTAATTAATTACTATTCTCGTAAGGCTTGGCACCTCATTTACATAAATCTCGCTAATAGCGAGTCGCTATGCCCATTTTCGGTGATACGGGCTTTCCATGTTGAATAAACTCTGTGTCCCTCGCGAATGCGTCAAAATATGCATATGATGTGACCGGCTATAAAAATTCGATGGTAGATAGCTTATTCCACGTCATGGAATAAATTATGCTATAGCTCATTGATCCTGTATATTTGATTGATAGCACGTGTCATTCCTTTATTAACGTTCCATTGCATACGGATTTCATAAATTGCATTTGAATTTTTGTATATACTTTGCCTTCTTCAATGTATTCAAATAGCGATTTTGAAACGTTCATCTCTTTGCGTTTTTTAAATGACAACTTTATTGTATGTAAAAATCGATAAGTTTTAGGTCTACAAAGTTAGGAGGTTAGAATTTTGATTTTTTCTTCCATGAGGACAGCAATGACAAAGCTAAATACCAAGTAAATGTATTACCCGTTGTAGCACCGCGCAGAAACAGAGTTGGGGCTGATTGTCCAATGAGCCTACGTCGATTACCAGCCATATAAAATTTCTCCTTTAGGAAGTGACGGCTACAAATCCTGGAATCAATAGCAGGTTCCCACTTCTGATCATTGCGTAGATTTCGAATTATAGTGATCCATTTATTCCGCATTTGGCGATGACTTGCCATTGTTGAGAACCTGTAATTTTTAGTAACATTTAATTAATGACATTGAAATGGAATATTAGAAATACTTTGGAATAGACTTACATATGCCATGATAAATCTACCTCCCGCTTCCGATCGATTGAGGTGCAGCTTGGTACAGCGCAATTGCGCTGTTTGGTGCCACCCGTTGTACAAGTTAGGCCTTCAGAAAGGATTTGGACGTCATTAAAAATTTGTAAACTTTATTTATTTAGTCCACGTCATTTGATAATTAAATTTATTTAATCTCATCGTTATCAATCTCAGAAAAGTCTTATCATTGGCAAATGAGGTCTCAAATCTACTTACCTGTGGATGGTGCGAAATCTACGGGATAATTGGAATTTGGATCGGCTTCAAGTAAAATAAATTATTATGAGGGCGATTGATTGCAAGCATAAAATCCTAACCAAGTGATTTACCCATTGTAGCATCGTGCAGAAACAAAGTGGGGACTGATTGCCCATTAAGCGTAAAACGTCCTGAACCACCCATACGTAATTCTTCCTTTCGGAAGTGACGACTACAAATCCTGGAATTAATAGCAGGTTCCCACGTCTGATCATTTCGAAGATTTCGAATTATAGTGATCCACTTGGCACGTATATGGCGATGAATGGGCATTGCAGAGAACCTGTAATGTTTAGTAACATTTAAATGGAATTTTTGCAATCCTTGAGGCTGGACTTACCTATGCCATGATAAATCTACCTCTCGCCTCCGATCGAACGACTTGCAACTTGGTACAACGCAAGTGCAATCATAGGCCCAAGTTAGACCTATGATTTGGACGCCATTTAAAATTTGTAAAATTTATTTATTTAGTTAACTTCATTCGAATAAAATGAGAGATCGTATCCTAATTTGAACTACAAATCTGAGTTATCTTTAATAACCGTTTTAAAATCCTTGCTAGCTAAAACTAATTTGTCAAAATTTGGGGACCGTCCATAAATTACATTAACGCAAGAGGGGGGTAGGGGCCGGGGGTCTCAGACTCCAATGATATCGTGCCTATGTTACACATGTTAAACGGGAGGAGGGGGGTCTAGAAAATCTCGATTTTTGCGTGACGTCGTAATTTATGGACGGCCTTTTGCCATGCAATCACAAAATTACGAGGGGTGTGAATAGAAAGCACTTTTAGACAAGGATGTATCGAATTCCATTGAAATGGATTTTTTAGAATATTTTTGCATAACATTATTGTCAAACTTAAAATTAATCTAATTTTGTCTCATAAATCACTTGATTTATTAAAACAAACTATTTACTCACCATTCACCAGTTCGTCGTTCGGGCATGGGTCAGTCACATGGTATAAATTAACAGCAGGAACAGCAGAAACCTTCAAAGATTTCTTCAACCCAGCGTCGGTCCGAAAATCCGTCTCCACGAAATGCCGAGAACAAATTTTATGGCCATTAGGTTCCCATTCTTGATTACATATTAGTCCACGAATTATTCTTATCCATTCGTTTCGAATTTTATGATGTAGTTTATGTCCCGGGAAGCTAAATTTATTTCGATTATGTTAATTGAATATAATGCAAAAGTCCTTAGTCTCTTATATTATGGTTACCAGTGGTAGGACGTGTCAGCTCCTCGAAGTTCTAAAGAGCAAGAAGGCACACAGCACGTTTTTGGAATCTTGGGTTCAGATTCCATTATAGCTTGAATTCCTAAGATTAAACAACAATAATTTTGAATAAAATCAGTTAAATGGTATTAATGCAAAATTTAAATGGGTAATTATAATTTCAACCAGTACGGTTAAACGGATAAATTTGTCACTATTGGCGTTACTTATACCCCGCTTTTGTATCTTAAAAAACACCCCAAATTTAAAAAATCCAGAGGCTTCATAGACTTGTATATTTACATACTTATAGACTATAAGTTATAGTTAGATACACAGAGAGTTATATAGAGTCGTAAAATATGAGGCAGGCGTTAACGCGGTGGGCCCATTCACAAATTACGTAACTTAAATTTGCTGGGTTTGGACTTTAAAGTTTGAAGTTTAAAGTTATACATAATATAGTTCTAATACATTACATTACACGTCCCAGTTAATCAACCAATTAGACCAAGTGATGACAAACTTACTAGGACTAGGACTAGGTGAAGAGGAAGTTGGGAAAGCCCATTCTTCCAAACGTTGCCGACCTGTATCCCGGAACATGTTGTCTTCAAAATGCAAGGCACACATTTCTGCGCACTTGGGGGGTTGCCAGCTCATGTCACCATTGGAGGTACGGACAAAAGGAATCCACGTAGACTTTAGCCTAGTTTCAAAATTCATAACAATTATATAACCTGCTGTGGTGTAAAGATTGACAAGTTGGTATTTACGCATAAAGTGGAATGGATGAAGGTTCATTTAAATAGCGTCTTCTGCAATTCGCAATGACACATCTGTGGTGATCATACATGATTCTGGAATACGACAAAATATTTCATGAAATTATTACCAGATAACTCATAAGATGAGACTAACCCGTGAGTTGGAGGCTGTGATGGGCTTAGTGGGCGAGAAATACCAGCAATCCCGAAAGCATTGGTGTCTGTAGGTCACATGGAATTTATTAATTTTCCCGTTTCGACAGCAAGACATTATGCTTGTGTAACGCAATGAGTAAAATGGTATAAGGGGTTTGCAGTCGCAGTCGGGGGTTGTTCAAACATAACGTGTGCAAAATTGGGGTTTGGTATGCATTTTGTGACGACAAATTAACTAAATTTACCTAAAAATTCATCGGAAGGACGAAAGAATTTCTTTATAAAACATAAATTTCGGGTTCACAAAGGCCTTACTCCGCTCACGTTCGTATCAAAATTTTCTTGGAGGGGAGAAATATCCGGGATAACGTGGCATCAATATAACATTAATTCGATATTACCTTTTAGAAATCCCTCATTAACTAGAGAGTCCGTAACAAATGATTTGTCTCCGAGATGCTCGCTAGGGAGTGCAGTAGCCAAGAGGTATGATTTTCCTATTTCCCTCATAGAAAAATCTTTGGACTTGAAATGTCGGGAACAAATTTCATATTTTGAAAGATCCGAAGGGAAAGTCTCTTCTGGCAATATAGGACTAAGAACTTCAATCCACTTTTGACGAACATTTCTGTGAATATTGGTGGTTGGAAATCTGTGGGAATAATCTGATATAATGGTCGTAAAATCATTGGAATAATTTGTAATCACCTGTGGTATGATAGCAAAGGCTCATTCCTTCTCATTTCCTTCGTGCAGCTCGGAACTATGCAAGATCCAAGACATTTCCGTACCATCTAATAGATTTTTGATTACAAATTATTTACCTCAGAATATGTCCTTTGTGTTATTCGACTTTTTTAAAACCTCTAGTCCCTACCAAATTTGTACACGTAATGTTTGAATAACCCTGGGATAAACTTGACCTGACCTGTTTAGATTGTAAGATTTTCATACCTTGTAATTACATAACATGCCATGGCCCAAGATAACAGAATAATTGAACTATATTTCATTTTTCCAAACACAAATGTTTGAATAACCCCGACTAAAAAAATTTGACGTGTCGTTTAGATTTTAAAATTTCAAATTTGTTAAACAGAACATTGAAATACATTGACACGTGCTCCAAATATTTTTATTTTTATTATATATGAAACATAATGATGGAAACATACTAGTAGTGCTTACTTTGATCCTTGACAGTGGGTGTGGTGGGCGTAAATGTGGTCATGGAGTCAAACTACTTGGAAGTCATTATTCACTCGTGGGAGGGCATCGAAATCCGATCTTCTTGATAAGTCACCTCACAAGTAGAAGTTTTCCTTCTTTTAGGATTAGTTCTTATACTGCTGCTGCTATTGCACACATAAAAATCTATTATTCACATAAATAGTTTGCTGATGGATGATGAGTTTGTTTAATTACTTGATCAAAAACAAAATTTTAAATTTAGATTTATTCACTTGGATGAGAAACGTGAAGATGAGCTGGTAGACAAATTTCGAGTTATACTTGTAGTAATGATACAAAAAAATATGATAAGTAATTATATTTGATTTAACTGGTCCCGTTCGAAACAATGTAAATTTTAAATTGGAACCAATCTTTAAACAAAAAAAAAACAAACACAAAACATGTGCGAATTGCGGAGTCGTTTACTTCGAGCCGAAAATCTCACTTTTTGCTCAAAATCTCAAATGGTCAAACAGTCTCAAATTGTACATTATGCAATATTGTAAATTTTATTCTTATTACCTTTGGATGCAAAAATTATTTCGTAATTCTTTGAAAGTCAAGATTATCTTTAAATAACTTGATATCGGACTTGAATTAAATTAGCATCGCGAGCCAAATCACACAATGCAAAATTTATTTTTCAATAAATTTACGTGTTGAAAGATCAGACAAAGTTGACAAGTTTGATTTAATTGTTTCCTTTTGTAAAATTGAGATTTATAATTGATAAAATTTACAAAAGTTGCACCGCATTCGCATCACATCGCATCGCAATTAAAATCTTAAATCTGGTATAAGTCAATATTTTATTGTCTTCATATTCTAAACCTATTTCTTGCACGATTTAGAAAAAATGTCACCCGCATATCAAAAAATCGAATGTCAAGAATCAATCAGTATTCATTACCAATAACCCATCTAATTAAAAAAAGTGCTCTAATAAATTGTCGAAAAAAACACTTACATACATAAAAGCTCTACTATTATTGCTCAACGTGTTATGTATGTATCTTCAAAAATGGGGCGATTTAAAAAAAACTGATCTAACAACAACAATTGACCACCACAATATACATAATGCATGCCATTCAATTATCTATTTACTACAGGACTAGAATTCAGGAAGGGTTGTACCGTACTACACCTCGTCCTCTATTGCAGCAATAATCTGCAAACTAGCAAATTCTACAAAAGTCAAGTGTTCTCACTTGTGCATGTTGTTGTCAGTCAGCTATTTAAAGTTTGATGAAAATTATTGGATGCAATAATAATGAGACAGAAATGCATCGAATTGTTGTTGATTGTTCGTGATGCAGATACGTAAGACCAGTGGCCGCGGAAGCGTGGGAACAGAGGGACAATGTCCCCACGGGTATTCGATGTCTTCTTTATCTGCCCATGTTATATAGACCCCTGCCTTCCCTATCCTACAATGTTAATGTCCCCAGATGTCCCCACGGCTTCCGCGGCCACTACGAGTGCATGCATCTAGAGCACAAAAAAATGATGACAAATTTACACCTGCTTCTTGTAGAAGTTGTTAAATTGCATAGGAAAAATAAAAATCTACCTGTGGAAAATTATATAACAACAACAAGAAAAAAAATTGTTACATTAAATTAGTTGGGAATTGAATCCTCGTAATTGTAACGAATTGTTCATGACCATATTATTATTATTTAATTCTGTCCTTTTTTTGCGGTGCAGGTTTGTCACGTACATATGCAATCGAGTGCATTATATGCAGGTAATTATTTATTAATTAGGTATGAATTAACCTTTTTGGAATTTATTGCAAAATAATCAAGCGAAGAAACAGCAAATTGCACTTTATTTATCAATCGATTATTGTTATTTAGTAGAAAAGTGATTAAAATTATTTGAGTTGGGAAAATCGATGCAAGTTTTTGTACAGATTTTTGGATAGGTACTTAAATTATTATATGAAAAATCATGAAGGGTTAGCAAAAGACGACACTTTGACATACTTATTTTCGAAATACATAATTGTACCAATTGAAAAATAATTTAAAAAAGTATTTGAATTATTTTTGTATGGTTTGGACACCTATGATAAAATTTGCAGATTTTTAAAATAAATAATGTAAGGTCCAGGTAATCTATCTAGACTTTCTGGAGTATTTAGTTGAAACATCACAAAAGGCGATACTTTGACACATTCATTTTTTGAAATAATTGCATCACTTGAAAAATAATAAATAAGAATATTAAAATTATTTTTTGCAAGTATAGACGCCTATAATAAAATTTGCAGATTTTATAAATCAGTTTATCCAGATTTTTTCAGATAAATATTTCAGATAGGTTTCAACGTTTTTAAAACCAATTCCAAGTTTACCAACGTCTACAATTTTTAACCTTTACATTTAAAACCTCTACAAAAGACCTTTACCTTTAATTCGTGTTAAGTATGGGGGCAAGCCCATTAAAAATTTTAAATCGTAGCAGTGACACGCAATACAATAAAACATGTCATCCGTCAAAATGGATCAGTGTGGTTGCATCACATTTAAGAGGTGTGGTGTGGTGTACCCTTGTTAAATAATACGACTTGGACACGTACTAACAAATAAATACGTATAGATAATTTTTTTACTTAATGGACCTAAAAAACTTGCTGCTTGTTTCAAAATTAATATCAAACAAGTACATTCACTCGAATATGGACAATTTTATGAAAGAGACAAAAACAGGCAGGCAGGCAGACAAAACCTGTGTGTTAAATGGATTCTTGCAAAATATGTACAAAAATGCGTGTGACTATTTCAACGAGCAATTTCAAACGCAAGCTATTATTATTATCGTCACTTTTACTACCCGTAAAGTGGTAATATTCAGCGTAATAATAATGGAGGGTTGGTTGGTTGGTTAGTGAATGAGTGAGGAGATTAGATTATTATTATGCAAGAAATTAACAATGTGTCATTTTATTTTGTGGGTTAAATTACGTTGGTCTTGTTGTTCCGTAATTCTGCGTGAGCTTTGGTTTGAATCTTGCCTCAAGTGATTTTAATTCATTCATTTCATTCAGCAGATTTTTTGCAGGGTTTAAACAATATGCTAAACTGTTTCCGATTAGAATTCACAGTGTTGAATTCTGCAGTAAGCGGCAAAACCTCGATGCATATGTTACCTGCATATTTTTTACATTATCCTGCAGAAAATATCTATCGGTTTTATTCTGCGGAACGATATGTGCAAAATTCTGCATAGCTTTCTGCAGAAATCGCTATGCGCAAAGTTTTTTTTGCAGAAAGTTGGACAAAATTCTGAAGAATACTGGCCCAATATTATTCGACCAATTTTCTGCAGGAAAACCGTTCAAATTTTTACTCGGGTTGGATGCTGCCATTTACTTCCTGATGCCACTGCTTGATAAGGATGATAAAATAATTAAGTCATAATCTGGAACAATCCAACATCTTAACAATTATCCCATAAAATTTTGGCGTTGTTGATATGATATTGAAATTAGAATATTAGAACTACTACCGCATGAATTTGTTTCCCAAATGTCATAAACTTGGCATGAATTTACACAAAATTTGAAAGACTCTCATCTACGTACTTGCAATTCCGCGATATTGAATTGCATCATCACTTTTTGCTCGCATAGTCTATTTAATTTTTGACTGACATAGCCAAATTTTGTGTGTATAAAACAAACTTCTGATGAAAAAGTTGTCTTTTTAATCTGATCGTTGGTTCGTTGCGGTGATCATAGCATTTTGGCAAAAACGGTATGTGTAAATAATTCTTGAGGGCTCATTCGCTCACACGATCTTACCTTTTGATGGATTCGCAACAAATTGTGAATCATCATGAATGACTTAAATATTTTACGCTAACTCGTCACCCACAATGATCGCGTAATATAATAATCATAATCGTAATGACGACGATGGTGGTAGGCATGTGGTGGACGTGGACCTATTACATTGACACTTTTGATTGTTACAGAAGCTGTGTGGTGGATTTTGCAGTGGATCTGTGCGTGCAGTACCTCGTGGTGGATGTTGGTCTTTTAGAGGGGGCAACAAACCATCATCGAAAATAAGTGCACATTATGCACCCCAACGGGTTTGGTTCAATTTTAATATGGCGCATATTCGCTAATTCCACTAAATTAATAAAGTTTATGTAAAAACAAGGGAAGTTATTTATCAGTGCATTGTATGTACTTAGAGACCTACTGACAATGACAAGTGTCAGATATTATGTAATTGTGGTATAAAAGGAGCTACGGCAGAGGCAAGTGTATCAGTTTACTCGTGACCGTTGAGTGAATAATAGTTTAATCCAGAAAATTCTTGGAACAATTGTGGACGGATTATTTCCAATCTTAGAAAAATGAAGATCTTTGTAAGTGATTCTGCTAAACGGCTTGAATAAGCAGTGTTTCGGGTGAAAATAACGACGTGCAAGAAATAACTGCAAGAAGTGGTTTCTTGCAGTTATTTTGACCTGCAAGAAATGCAAAGCGCAAGAAACTACGCTCCGCTGCTATTCGTTCATGAGGCGCGTGGCTGGATGGCGCATATTTCTTGCACTTTCTCACAGTTTCTTGCACCTCAGATTTCTTGCGTTTCTTGCTTTTCAGTGCAAGAAGTGTATTTAGCAAACCCCGCAAGAAACGAAACACTGTTTAGAACTTTTGGTTTAATATTAGTTTTGACATTTTGGATTTACATTATTAGATTGCGATTACCCTCTTGGCCTGCGTCACCTTTTGTCAAGCTGGATACGGTGGTCACCACGTCGTCACTCCGGACATTATTCATCACGTGTCGAAAGTTTTGAGTCACGGGTATGGAAGCAAAGTGATCCTTGGGTATCCGCAAAAAGCGCATTTAGTCGATGTCGGCCATTCCGTTGACCACTATGGAGGTTACGGTCATGGACATGGACACTACGGTGGGGGTTATCATGGAGGGTACGGTGGGGGGCATTATGGAGGTGGGTACGGTCACGGGGGACACCATTACGCCAGCCCAGTCGCCGTTTATTATAGTGGACACGGTCATGGTCACCACGGAGGATATGGTCATGGAGGATATGGACACTACTAAATCCTAAATGGAGCTTATCAATCATAAGATTATGTAAAACGCCATAAGATTTCTCATCAACGAACTAGAAATATCTCATTTTTTGTAGCATTTAAGCGACCAAACCAAAGATTATGAATATTTTACTTAGCAAGAGGATCAAAATTAGATTAATAATCACAAAAACGAAAGAAAGTTGTCACTGTAAAATTAAATTCTATAGTGGACAGTGTTTAATTTGCTTAAAATGCTGGCCTAAAAATCTCAATAGTTTTGTTTGATTTTAACGGTAACATTATGTATATGACTTGACCAAACAGAGTGATTTGATTGTATTGTTACTGTGAATGTGTCAAGTGGTGATAATAAATGTATTGTAGAATGTAGAATGTAGAATGAATTCCACTGCGTGACGAGTGCTGTAAATGATTTGAAATGAGTAATTGAATGTTTGATTAACTTTAATAAAGAAAAGTAAAACTGAAACCAAAAAGTGTCGTGTGACATGTTAATAAAGAAATGGAAAGTGTAAAATTATTACCAGAACAAGATTTTTTTGTTTTAGAGAAGAAAATTTCGAAATTTGTTCATCTTTTTTAGTTGTATACATATTTTACTGAATTTTTGGCATTATTTTTTGGTCAGTACGAGAAGAAGGTGGATAATAGAATGACAAAATTTGGGTTGCATTTTGTCGTAATAATTTGTATTTTGTTGGGTGCATCGGCTTCTGATGACCAACATTTTATCGACTCGAAGTCTACGCCACCTTCGGATTCAAGGGGACGAGGAATGTTGGACAAGTTGGGTCAAATTGGTGAGTTATTAATAGGGCTTAATGGCTCATGACCAAAATTGTAAAAATCAGGACATTTTAAATCATTTCTCAGCTGTAGGAATTTGTTTTAAAATTCTGGACAACAAATTTGTAGCCAGGAAGTTGTTTAATAGAATGGCGGTGAGATTTTTAACCTAGTTTCGATGTGTTCCAATTTTTTTGAAGGATTCTTAAACCTAATTTCCCCAACTTTCCTCCTTCAAAAACGGTCAAAATCTGCAGTATATATATTTTTTAATTGGCAACTTCATGCTCTACAAATTTGTCATCCAGAATTTTAAAATAAATTCCCAGAGACGAGAAATGATTAAAAATGTGCTGATTTTTACTATTTTGGCGATGAGTCCTACATCGATTAACCATAATTCAAACCTTAATTTTATCACATTTCTTAACCAGCTCTCGTTGGGTTCCGCACTGTCACCGGTGACCCTTGCGCAGTCCGTAAATTTTGGCTGATTTATCTAGAAATCAACTCCTTTGGTGGTGGCAACTGCGCCAACTGCGACAAGTACTTCCACTGTAGAGCCAACTATGACGCTGTTCACGTTTGCATGAGGGAAGATCCTGAAGGTGATTTAGAAGCGAGGATACGGACGGCGGAAGAGATCAGTAATGCCAGAGAGTTTGGTCAGCATGGAAAACCAGATAGTCAACAAGACCAAATTGCCAATAGATTTGGGAGGAGGGGAGGAAATTGTGGGTGGAGGTATTTATCCAGGAATCGATGTTTTTATCACCCAAAGAGTAAAATTTGTTACCAAAAGTAGCTGTTCGTTTGGATAATAACCAAACCCCACAGGGTAGCCTTATTTAGCCCGACTCAGGTTGTCATTAATAATTGAGGTGGGCATAATACGACCACTGCAATTTTTTTATTTATCTACAGATTTTGTCATCTTGGAACGTGATTCATAATTTTGCACGTGTGCGAAAAATTTCAATTTTTACCAGCGTAATAGGCAGACCGATCGACAGACAACCGTGACGAGTACATAAGCCCTGACTCGGGCTAATAACTGACCAGTTTATCATAGAAACTTGTGTATATGCAATAAGTCATTAACTATGTAGAAATGTCATTAATGCATCATTAAGATTTATTATTTTACTGCATGCAAGCATTACATACGTGTCTATTTATAACTTATTTGTGCATCTGTGCAAAGTAAACACAATGACGACCTTCTTGACCTTCGTTATAATTTTCACATTATTCCAAACTGCCACACCCACTGATCCCGTCAATTTGGTCCCGCTCGTCAAAATCCCCTCCACAAATTTAAGTACAGGCGTATTTTACATCATTTCCATGAAAAGTAAACCATCCGGCGTATTAAGTTGGACTTACGACAAGGCGATTCATAACACTGGAAACTTTCTCCAACTCGACCTCACCCCCGAAAATCAAGCCAAGTATCTCCCCGGCGGAGAATGGAACCTTTCCGCACACTGGGTGCTCCAACCCTTCAACAATTTGTCATCATTCGTACTAAAAAATCGGGACAATTTGTCCCGAAATGTGGCAACCGTTTACGATGAAAATACCGGATACACTTTTCTTTACTGGGATGACCCCGCAGGACCAGGAAATTTAAATACTCCTCCGAATCACTACTTCGTCACGCCGGTGGGGACCGTGGACCAGCCAGAGTACAAGATTCAGCTCCAATTTCCCCGATACCCGGGCAGATTTGTGACCTGGACTCCACTCAAGTATCAAAATGATTCCCATTATCTTCAAGTGGCAGCAAAGGGGAGTGAGTACGACTGGGGTGGGAGGTCGTGGGACAGCACCTTGTTCAAATTTGAACCTGTGACGAGTGGGGTTGTCATTCGATTTGGACATGTCGCATCGTTAGAGATTAGTCCACAAGGGGTAGAAATGTTGGAGAACAAAGGAACAATGGTCACCGTGTATGCGGAAAAGTTTGAGAATTTTGGATCATTTCCGACCACAACGCTGGTAATAAAATTTATAAAGGAGCGTATGCTCTCCGATTTTGAGCAAACTAGTGTACGCCGAGCAAAAATTTAATTAGTATCAAATTTGTAAATGACGCCATCTGTAAATGCGCAGGTTTTGCAGAGATATTTGCATCCGAAGAGGAGAAAATACCCAGTAGATTTGGAAAGTGTAACATTTGTCAACTTTAAGGCGCATTTTCTCCTCTTCGGATGCAAATATCTCTACTAAACCTGCACAGGAGTAGATCGTGTCGTTTGCAAATGTCATAGTAATTAAATTTGGGGCCGATTGGCACTAGTTTAGTCGAAATCTGAGAGCATAAACTGGGAGACCTCCATTCTTACAATTTAGTAAACAACTTTTTTAAAAACTGTGACATACAAGCAGCATAAATTTGTATTAATTTCAGATAAAAACCTCTCTGCCTGACACATCCGGAGGAATTTTGACCATCACGAACCCCACGTTGCATCCCCACATCAAACTTCCGGCGAATTTCACTTTTGCCCTCTCCTCCAAAAAGGGCAGTCCAATCCTCTTCAACGTCATCGCGTCCTCTGAAAATTCGAATAAAACATATCTCGTGAGACCACTGAATCGTGTCCTGCCGCTCCCACCGAACGTTGCCGTGAACGTGGGGGCGGGTAAGGTGACAAGCTTTAGAGTGCAGCAGAAGCTCTTTAAAGAGGTCGAGTTGCCGTGCGTGCTCAACGTTCCGGTGACGGGCGAGGGTGACAGGATGACGGAGGACTGGGACGAGGATCGAGGACCACTCCCACCGGACGTGGTAGAGACCGCTTTGAGGAAAAAGTTGGGATTGTTGGACGAAGTGAGGATGGACGGGGACCAATTATTTGTCCGAGTGGGGGCTGTCATTAAGGGGACATTTTTAGTCGGGGTTGAAACAACGCCGTCAATCGTGTAGAAATGCATGCATGTATGTACACAGATTAATTTAGAAAATTATACGACATTGGCAAATTCGGAACATAAAATTTAATAATTAATTCTGACAATAAATTCTAAAATAAATTAATGATGCGGTTGATTCGTTATTATGATACATGAAAATGATAAATACTTATTTATTTATTTATTTATTCACATCAAGCTTGATTTAAAACAAAATCTTGTTACGCTTGACGGTAACATAACTCGTAATAAAATTAGAACAATGTTTGTCATATTCGTATGTACATACTTATAAAAAATGTAGTAATATTTTTTAAACAGATAATAAAAAACAAAATTTTCCAAATTACACTGCACATAGCACAATTATGAAGATCAGATTCCATTTTTTCATGTTATCCTCGAAAATTTGATAATTTAGATGACCAAAATTACTAGGATGACGTGAGAACTAAACCTTTTTGAACACTGTCAACTCTAAAAATGTCCAAAACTCTACATTGGACGTCCAAATGTACAAAATTGGATAATGAGGCAAAATGTTACAAGGTATAAGTTAACAGTAAAGATTTTTTTACAGATCTATGCACAGATGTGTAATTTCCCATTAGTTATGACAGGTCTTGGACGACATTTTTTTGGGCATGGTTAAAACCACAGCGAAACCCGGTTAGAAATTCTTTGTAGCCGTGAAGGTCGGAGTTGAATCTCGAGGGATTGATACAAACCAAACAAGATAATAAAATGTCACCCATTTTCATGCATGGATCAAAGGGCTTGTAAATACGTATTTCACTTTCTCCTCATTCATGTGTGGACACACCGCTAACTTTCCAAGTTATCTTTGCCCAGCTTATTCAGCTTATCTTGGTCTCGTTGCATACTTAATACTTTAATCAAATACGACATTTTTTGGAGTTTACATAACCATAAGAGTTCGCAATGAGGGTGCCACAAACCAAACCAGCTAAACCAACAAAGCCTTCGGGGCAAATGTCTAGTCTACATTGCATTACATTACATAACACGGGAACATTTTGTATTTGTTTCGCGTGCCCTTATCATCCATTCTGACTGCAAAGAAGCGAGGAATTTTCCTGTCGAGAGGACAAATTCAAGAGAGCTGGCTAGTTTATACGTATTCCGTTGTATTTGGATGGACGAGATGACTCGTAACACGGTCAGTGGCCGTGGAAGCTGTGGGACATGTGGGGACATTGACATTGTAGGATAGGGGAGAGCGGGGTTTATATAACATGGGCAGATGATGGGGACATCGAATAACCGTGGGGACATTTTCGCTCTGTCCCCACGGTTCCGCAGCCACTGTCCACGGTGCACGCAGGAGAGAAAGTTATATTTAGTGGGAGGGAGAAAGTCGTGAAACTAAGACTGGCAATAATAATACTGCATGTCCTTGAATTACGCTCTTCGACATGGCATCATCTTATCCTTAGCAAGGGTTCCTAATGTTCCCATCACCTTCTAGTTGGGTGAAATGCATTTTTTCTAGTATGTTTCTTTTATTGTGTTATTTCTAACTTTCGCTACAAATTAAAAGATTAAAATGCGAAACAGAATTGTAACTGGGAGAAAGTTTCCCAAGTAAATATAGAAGTTACCAAATTTTCAGGGAAGAGATGCATTTGTTTTCATTTACAACTTTTCTTACGTTTCCCAAATTGAGGATTTCTGAAAGCAAATACATATCCAGTCATTCATTACGTCGTTTCATACTTATCGGACATTAATAAAGGTAGATATGATCCACTAATTTTCACACAAACCCCACCGTCAACGGTGTAAAATTATGAATTTTCTTAAAAATTCGCTAGGTTTTTGGAACCCTGATCATATATTTGACCATATATTAGTACATATTAGTACTTCTCCTGTGAAGATCAACAACTTTCACCATGCTTCCTCATCCACCCACAACAACCCGAATTTATTTCCAGAAGAACTTTATTGCATCCGGGAACTTGAGGAATTTGCATTATTTTATGCGACATATTTTCCATATTTGTCTTCCTTGCTTTTTATGCCTGCTTTTGCTCAGGATTTTATTGCATCGTTGTCGTCTCTCATTCTTCGTCTTTATTTCATTCAGTCAAATCATCTCATCCGCGTGGTGATCATAGTAAAAACGAGTGAATGAATTTCCTCAACAAATGCAGAGGACGCATTGTTGTTGATGATGATGATATTTGCATATTTGCATATCGTGGTTTGGATACATATATCTCTTCTTACTGGATTTAGATTCCCAATAAAACGCGGAACGCCAAGAGCAGGACTTTCGCAGCATGAATTATTATGACAGGAGATGAGTAACGATGTGCTGTGTGTTGGTTGGTGGTCATGAATTGTTCATTGTGCCAAAGTGGCCAGGATACACATATGCACAAAGCGCTAATTAATTAATCACTTTCACAAATGAGTCTCCAAATTCAATACTTTGTTTCCATCCGAAAACCAGTGTTTCGGGGGAAAGTAAGTAAACACTTGCAAGGAATAACGGGAAGAAAGTGGTTTCTTGCAGGTATTTTGACCTGCAAGAAATGCAAGGCGCAAGAAACTATGCCCCGCCTCTATACGTCACGTGGCTAAATGGCGCATGTTTTTTGCAGTTCCTTGTATTCATACCTGTTCACTTTCATTCATTTATGTGATTATGATGGTGAGTGAAAGTGAATAAAAATGAATTTCCTGTGATTTGAGTGAAAATGACTGACTTCCTGTGATTTGAATGAAAATGACTGAAAGATTCCGTCATTTCAGATGAATGAAATGATTTCTCACTCATTTCATTTTTCACCCTATGCTTAATAAGTTGGGCGAAGCAAGAAATGAAGTCCGATGAAGAGAAATGAAATGAATTTGAAAGAAAATGACTGAACTTTGAATGAAAAATAAATTTTTGAACAGGTATGCTTGCATTTCCTGCTTTGCAGTGCAAGAAATATAGATAGCACACCCGCAAGAAACGAAACACTGCCTAAAAAGTTCTGGCTCGTGTTTCCCCTAGATTTTGAATCTGTTCGGATTCACATTTACTGATATTTCAGGTTGGCTGCAGCAGACCATAATTTTATTGACATGTAATAAATTTCAGGGATCTGAAATACAGTTTAGTGCATGTACATATTTCTATTACGTAATGGGCTATAGGTTTGCATTTGAATCGACTTTTTTAGGCAGTATCGGAGGTAAATTCTTGACAATATAATGACATGATGGGGGGAAACTCAGCCATGAAAACTTTTACACTTTCCGATATTATTTTCTCCCCGTAATAGCATCATGGTTCCTGGGAGAAAAGTAATAAAAAGATGCACAAACTCAATAAACTGGAACAATGGGAAAGTTTTCTTGGGGAAAGTTCTAATGACGTCGCGTCATTCGACTGCAATGCCAGTTGAAGGTTTCTGAAACAAAGAGAATTTTTTTGAGAGAAAAATGTCAATCCATTTTTGCAACAAAGTTTGGCAAAATTGCGAAAGTGAGAGTCTTGGAATAAGATGGTGCCGTATTAATTCCGTCTAAAATTGCAAGTTATACACATTCTGCATCCATCGGGGGCCGGAAATGTTTACGAGATGATTCCGGCCTGATGATTAAAGAGAAAGTGCATGTTTTTACTGCGAAATTTTAAGCAAAAAAAATGACATTAAATGCGTCACGGATCTTAATATCATCACCTGCTGTCCTCTGGACTTTTGAATTTGATAACGTCATCCCCCCCAGTCGAGTGGATGCTGACGTTGGAGTCTCATGTTTTGGACCATTTCGGCTTCGTTTAAGCAACTCGACGATAAGCCAATTCGATATAAAATATTCAATTCCTAGTCAATTAGTTTAGGTTAGATCAGTTAATATGCCCTTACATACTAACTATTAAAATGAGATGATTTAATAGTTATAAATGCGCTTAGACAATCCCACTGGAATTATTTTTAAAATATTCTAATGAAAATATTCTTATGACAATTGTGACATTTTTCGAGATTATTTGTGTATGTTTTGAAATTGTAATTTTAAATTTTATCTGGCTTAACATTCTAACAAAGTAAGTATGTAAATAAAATTTGTTCTATTTTATTTTATGCAGCAAATAATTATGCATGACGTGAAGTGAAAGCACCAAATTTTCTTGACATTTGTTTGAAACGTTAATTAAGATAATTAAAGGGCTCGTGGAACAATTGAAGAAATAAGTTTCCAACAATTAAGCATAGTTTCGATTTCTAGACCAAACCCAGCAGGGAGAAAGTGGGAAGAAAGCAATATAAATTCCTGCCCGATATTATGACGAGGTGTCCGCCCACTCAAAACTATTTGTCAACAATTCGTCCCATCGGCATTGTTGAATATTCACCGTATTATTATTCGAAACTAGTTCCGTTAATGTTCTTAGCTCAAAAATCTTACGCTTCAATTTCTCAATGAGGCGGATTTCCAAGATTCCACTATTTTTTTCCTCGGGCTATAGTTTCTGTGCTCTATTAACTTATATTTTTAATAATTCATTGCTAGTTAGATTTTTCGCAGTTGTTCGTAGAAAAACGCATAAAAATGTAACCGTCGTTTGTTTATCTATCAAGCACAGCTCCTTTTCCTGGAGAAAGTTGAATGCCTGAAGACGATGAAAAGTGTGGCTTTAAAATGCAATCTTCTTAAATCGTTATTTCTAATTTTTAGCCCGAGTCAACACTTACGTAACCGGTATGAAGGTGTGTCCGTATGTCTGGGTCTGGGACACGCTAGCGGACGAAGCCTTGAACTGATTTTGACCAACTTGGTATTAAATAAAACATGCTTCTCAAAAAGGCCTTGGATAAGCGGATGAAAATGTACAACTTTCTGTAAATTAAAATATAAAGCAAAAAATCACATTTTTTCAAGGTTGCAGTAAAAGGTGGATATGATGATGGTAATTTACCATTGGTAAAACATGTATAAAATGCAAAGTAATTGACCGGATTGTTAATGAGAAACTAATATCTTTTCAGTTAAATATTTCCCAATGATATTATGACAATGCATAATAAAATGTAACCATAAAAATTGCAAAGTTATGGTATCTATAAAATATGGATTAGACGATTGAAATGTATTTAATATGTAACTAAATTATGCAACTTGAATTGATTAAGGCCCGACCTACATGAATAATCTGAATAAAATTGAATTTATTACTGAACTCATTTCTACCAGCTATGTCCATTTTTTTCGTCTATCTGCATAATTATTAAAAATAAAACTGAATGGAGGCACAATTGCCAGAGGATTAAAAAAGAAGTAAAAAAAATTAGGAAGCATAAGATTTCAGATTTCAATTCCGTTGTAGAAAAAGGCTGAGTGGTATGGATACTTTCCAAAATAGTTTATTTTGGGTGTAGGCGATCGACGACTGAAGTTAATCGAGCCTCAATAATTTCCAAGTTGCCGTTTATGACTGATTGGAAGCTGGGTAACCCCAACAGTATTTCCATGTTCTTGGTGGTTTCGTGAAATATTTCGTGCTTGTCGCAATAGTCCTTAATTGTGGCCCCACGCACCTCAGTCCACATATAACTGGTTGCTTCCAGCCACTTTATTTGCTCTGCATACAAAGTAAACAATTTTAAATTCAGTGTTATTAATCACTAAAAAAGAAGGAAATCATGAAACATTTTTCTATTTAATTACCAGTTTCACGTCGAAAAAAATCAGTGTCCTCAAGACCCCAGAGTTCTTTGAAGTAGAGATTATAAATCTTCTTCACACTATTGTACTCCGCCATGGTAAGTAACGGATGGGGACCATTCGGCGGAACATTTTCAAGTTTATTTTTAACATAATATCGAACCTGTTCGATGACAGCGGATAAAATCATCATCTTATCAAGTCGATAAAACCTGACAGTTTTGTCATAATAATGCTTAACCACGCCTCCTAGCTTATCCAATGGTGTAAGCACAGCTGCCAGCAATACAAAACGATAAAATTAAAACTTGATTTAAAGCAAAAGTGAAATTGTTTGATCTTACATGTTTCAAGGATCATCCTCCGCACTTTTTTAAAACGCAGACGTCGATAGTCCACCTCTTTAGAACCTTTACATGCTCCTCCACATGTTTCACACATCCATTCTACCTTGCGACTTCGGTCAGCCTTTATCGTCAACACTGGATAAAACGTTGTCATCTGCAACTTCTTTTTGCACAATGCTGAATATCCCCAGAGTTTTCGGAGTTTTCCCACTTGAAGCATATTTCCTGCCTCTTTTCCCTGTAGGATTAAACGACACCATCATAACACTAAATTAAACACTCCTAACTAACTCAATCTACTCTTTCCCATACCAAGCAAATTGTGCATGCTGACGAGGTACATTCCTTCTTGTGACTTAGTTCTCGCACATTTAGATAATCACCAAATCCAACCGTGTCCGAATCGAATATGGGATTCGCAATGAGTGCTGAGTATCCATACTGGTATATTCCCAAGGTTAATATCTCGTCCTGTTCGACTGGCCTCAGAGTCTTCAAGAGGACTCGATTCGCACCCAGTTCCTTGGTCAGGATGACATTTGAAGTACATCCATAGTGGAACTTGACTCCAAGCAGGACGCACTTGTTAATAACGCTGAAAGGTTATATTTGTATAGAATGAACACAATTATTATCACCAACCACATGGACGATAATAGTAAATAAAGCATCTCACCCCGCGTGTGCCTCCATCCAAGAAATGCTAGCTGCATGTACAGGGTAGTAGAGAAGCGCATCCACGATGCGTTTTACGTCGATGGTACTCCAGAGCCGAAAAGTACTAAAATGATTCTCAAACTCTTCCAAGAACATGTTAAAATATCGCTCATCATCACGCGTAAGTTCAAGGGAGCATGCATCCCTCTCATGAGAAGCTCAAAGCATGCAAACAAATCCTTGTTCCTCTTTTGCAGGATAGATAGCCGCATTAGTCCCAGCATCCAGAAGGCACGGTCGCGATTCATTAGCATCGGATGTCTTAATCCTTGTGATTCAAATGAACGAGCGAAATTGGTCAAGTCTCTGCATTCTTTGCCATGTAGCTAAAAAAAATATTAGAATTTTGTCAGAGATTTATTCCTGTATTTTTAATACCCGCCGTTGTAAACGAGCTGAACGAAATATCATGGCATTAGAAACATTATACTCAAAAACATAATGTGCAATAAATCAATTTGTCAAACATTTCGCTCAACAATACCTTTTTACAAGCAGGATCAGGGCACAGTGGCCATTTGCACTTTTTGCAGTCAGTGGTCTTCATTTCATCAATAATAGCATACTGGTCTACATCCTCTTTGACCCAATTTTCAGGATTTGTACAGCCACATTGAATGCAAGGTACTTCGATGACGGTTTGGATAGACTTCTGATGCCAGTAATACGCGACGCTGCAAAAATAATTGGAAAATGTGATATGATGATGTTCTTCAAGGAAGAAAAATGGATTACAACAATACTGATCAAGCACATACGTACCGCGGTATTTCAAGGATTATTGGCATATCAGCCAAAATGTGGTCTTCAATTGGAATTTGGACCGCACTTTGCAACTCCCCAGTCCGGTACTTATAAAGCAGGCAGTTGTGGCAACCTTTCTCTTTGCACACTTCAGAGCAGAAAACGGTCTTCTCCGGACAGGTAAACTGACAGTATAGTCCCCCCGTAGATCCCCTTCGTCCTCCCAGGCTCCGTTGGCATGTCTGACATACTGAACGACCACTTCGACAAAAGTCAAATGCCCTATTCGCTGCTCTAATCTTCTCAAATTGTTTGGATTTTCTGCGCATACCCTCATTCAGCGTGTTCTGCAATTAATTCATCAAACATGATTCATCCAGGTAATAAAGGTAAATGAATAAAATGTCCTAAATGTAGTAAAAGAGTTATGTATTTTTCTCCACATCTCTTCGTTACAGAGAGTAAAATGAAATCGATAAGCTGGTTGCCCTCTTTATTCTACGACGACGATTATCTTTCGCGTTATAAAAAAGAATGGCGAATTGGTAAACTTACGGCCTTCGTCAGCAAGACCAAGGCTGCTTGACGAGCTTGGGAAATGCTTGCCATAAGCGAGTCATTATTTGAACGTTTTTGACGACCTTTGGAAATGCCTCGTTGCAGAAGAGAGTCATTATTTGTAGGTTTTTCAATTCTGCTGTTTTCTTTCTTCTTCCTAGAAACAGGCTTCTTCCTTGCCTTCGCCTTCGCCATTTTCTAATTCTTAGAAACTAATAACTTTGCAAAAATTAAAAAAATTGAAAATCAAAAAAAGGACAGGAGCGAATACGATGCTGAGTCAGAAGAGGAGAGCGAGGCACAACACTCGTCGAAGCGTGGCCAGCACGCAGCGTGGCCAGCACGCAGCGTGGCACGAGATTAACATTGCCGGGTTCTTTTTGGTTGCTCGCTCTCCCTGAGACTCAGTGATGCAGTGGCGACGGAATTTGGGGGACATATGCGACATTAACGTTGTGAGAAAGGGAGGAGCATGGGCTTATTAATGTAAGATTTTTCTGAATTTCTTGTGGGGTAATGTCCCCCTGTCCCCCCGCTTCTGACCCCACTGCATGATGAGTTATGTGTGTGGAGAAGTTGTCTCATTTTCCCCGTAACCGGGTCATTTTGAAATTGTTGATGGCGCAAAGAGGAAATAATTTTGGTTGTGAATTGTTTCAAGACGAGTAGTTTAGCTCGCATTTGCGAACCATTTTTATAAGCCCGTTGGCCAATCTCAACCTGCCCCCCAGTGCGGGGAGATAATCTCGTTCAAAAAAGCAGATACACATCAAGTGGCTATTCTTTATCTGATTGCTTGACAATTTATCGTAATACAAGGTTACGACAGTTGCTTCGATAGCCTCAAAAACCTCCATTTTTGAAATGCTAATTATTTGGGCCGTCGCTAACGGTAATTAAAGCACAAAAATTTCTGCCGGAACGCCGAAATAGCCGATTTCACATTTACAACTGCACTGATTCTTGTATCCATGGTTAAAAAATTAATTCGTGGGAACGAAATGTGAGTGCACACTGGTTCCAAAAGGTACCAGGGTTTTCGAAAATTGAAGTTTTTCATCGTCGAAGTAAGCATCGAAGACTGTGAAGACTGTGAAGACTGTGAAGAGACGAAGTTGCAGTTGGCATGTAGATTATTACAAAAATTATCACATAGTAGCATAGGTGATGGGAAGCACTCTCCGATTGACAAAGTTACATGAATTTATGTCAACTTTTAATTTATTCATAAATTGCTACCAAACCCAGCCTTATATTTGCAGCTTTATAATTTTACGTGTTATTTTAACATAATTAATTGGCCCTGTGTCCCTTCCCATGATGTCGCAATCGAAAAACTGACCTCAGATTCGAAATCAGCGACCAAAAAACTATAAGAATCGACATTTACCCAACCTCAACAACGTTGAAATAATTAATTATTAATGATGAATTACTTGTAACAATTGTAAACACGGAACATGTGAGGCCGCTTATCTCAGGTGCTATTAATATACATAGGCTATTAATAGCACCAAGTCATTCAGGCACCCAGTCAGTATGACTGGATGCTATTTATAGCAGAACTTTCACCGGGTGCTATTTATAGCAGAACTTTCACCGCCCTCCAGAGGGTATAAAAGGAGCTGCACCAGAAATTTTTGTCAGTCTGCGGGAGGCGCTCGTGGGGGACGGTCCCTGGGTGAGCTCCCCATTGCAGCTGCGCCCCTGGACCGCCCTGCCTCTCTGGGGAGTCGGGTCCACCCGTGGTTTGTCCCACAGCCCCGACTCTCTTCCCGTCGGAGGGGTGGTCCGGGGAGCAACGCTGCAAGGGGAGAGCCTTACGGGAAGGTCCCCCCTCCAATGCTCCTCCCACCAAGCAGACTCACCGGGTGGGGAGCCGGCGGGGCTTGCCAAAAGTGCGGGTGGCGCTTGGCAAGTGAGAGGGGCTCTCTACCTCCAACCCTTGGGTGACCGGGCTCTTTAGCTTGCACTCCCTTGGGGCCGACCGGGTTCCCGAGTTCGAAGCCTTAATGGGGGCCGATTTACGGGTGCGCTCCCACCTCGTAAGGCGAGGGTCAGACGGGCCCCCTAGGGGAACGCGGTTGCAGAGGCGGTGACGTGGGCAGGGCTTTCCCGGTCGGTGGAGGTAGACCCCCCTTGCGCCTCAGGGCGCGAGTGGGGGCCCGCCCGCGTGGAGCACGAGGGAGCGACGTCCTCGTCGTGTGCTCTGGAAACGCCCTTCTCAGGGCGGCCAACAGCTCCCCCCCTTATAAATGCATGGCATGGCGACAACCTTTGTCGCCATGCCATAATTTCGCCATTTCTCGTCCGATTCCCATCTAATTTCGACAGAGACTTCTTATTGGTGTAGTCGACATGTCGCAATGCTCCACCTATCGACACCACCTTGTTTTCGCCAAATTTCGTCGCCATGCCATAATTTCGTCATTTCTCGTCCGATTTTCATCAAACTTCGACTGAGACTTCTTTTTGGTGTTATCGACATGTCGCAAGGTCCCACCCACCGCCACCCCCTTGTTTTCGCCAAAAGGCGTCGCCATGCCATAATTTCGTCATTTCTCGTCCGATTTTCATCAAACTTCGACAGAGACTTCTTTTTGGTGTCATCGACATGTCGCAAGGTCCCACCCGTCGCCAGCCCCTTGTTTTCGCCAAAAGGCGTCGCCATGCCATAATTTCGCCATTTCTCGTCCGATTTGCATGAAATTGAGCACAATGCTTCTTATTGGTGTTGTTGACGTGTCGCAAGGTCACACCCGTCACCACCCGCCTGTTTTCGCCAAATTTCGTCGCCATGCCATAATTTCGCCATTTCTTGGCCGATTTGCATGAAATTGAGCACAATGCTTCTTATTGGTGTTGTCGACATGTCGCATGGTCCCACCCACCCCCACCCCCTTGTTTTCGCCAAATTTCGTCCAAATTTCGTTCGTTTAGCACCCAAATCCTTATCAAGCAACATTTTAGTAATAAGTCGTCGTTCCTAAAACAAGAAAGAAAAGAAATGGTGATGTTAACTCCAGTTACAAACTGAAGAATTATTTTTTAGCATTATGATAAAGTGTTAAAGTTAAACTATCAAAGACAACTTGACCTATTGACCCACCTACCGCGTATTATTTTCTTCCTTCCCTAACAAATCAAGTTTTATGTTACTTCAATTTTTTGTTGACAGGCTCGTAAAAACCCTTCGATAATCATTTTTTTAATTAGAAAAGGTAGTTTTCTTATTTTCTTCGAACAGTCTTTCAGTGATGAGAAAAGACATTGTGGTCTTTTCTCCTCACTAACTTTGAGTGCAAGATTGCTTGACAATTTATCATAATACATCCATGATTAAAAAATTAATTCGATAATCGAAAGCACGAAATGTGAGTGTTGACGATGTTTGTGCGGTTTGTTTTTGGGCGACAGTTTGTGCGACACACTGGTTCCAAAAGGTACCAGGGTTTTCGAAAATTGAAGTTTTTTAGGCGTCGAAGCAATTGTCGCAACCTTGTAATTAGGCCTTTTAAGATGGCCTTATAGATTTGTCTAGATGTCCGTCTGTAGGCACGATAACTCTTTTTAAGCAAAACCTGTCGACTTGAAATTTTGCATATTTCATCTTCGGGCAAAAAGTAAGGTTGAGTTCGGAGATGGGCATGATCGGTCAAGTGGTTGGTCAGTGGGGGTGATTTAGGTGGGTCAGGTGGACCTCATAAAAATTTAAATGTCATAGAAACGTTCCGAAATTGTCGTGGGAGGCTGAAACTTGGAGAAGTTAATCATATCTCGAGTCCGACTTTCAGTTAATTAAGCCATCTTACAAGGCCCCGCAGAGTTGCTTGGAGTAGGTTTTATTACTAAAGTTGTCAAGCAACCTTGGTACAAAATTTTGCGTTGTTTTCGCGAAATAAATTATTTTTATAAGATTTATAAATTTTGGAATTTGTTTCCTTGGTGTGCTTCCAAATTCTATAGCTTTTTGTGTTTGAATATTTTTTTTAGTTCGCTGGAGGTCAAGATTGCTTGACAATTTGTCATAATACAAGGTTACGACAGTTGCTTCGATAGCCTCAAAAACCTCCGTTTTTGAAGTGCTAATTATTTGGGCCGTCGCTAACGGTAATTAAAGCACAACAATTTCTAACAGAACGCCGAAATAGCCGATTTCACATTTACAACTGCACTGATGATAATTTTCAACAGCAACTGCACTGATTCTTGTATCCATGGTTACGAAATTAATTCAAGGGAACGAAATGTGAGTGTTGACAATTTTTGGGTGTTTTATTTTTTGGATGAAAATTTGTGCGGCGCACACTGGAGTCTACAGACTCCAGGCTTTTCGAAAATTAAGGTTTTTCAGTCGTCTAAGCAATTGTCGCAACCTTGTAATACTAAAGTTGTCAAGCAACCTTGGAATTGTTTATGAGGAACGAAATTCGGAAATCAGAGCGAGTCATAATAATTTGTAAAATTGATAAGTGTGTCAGTTTAGAGGTGACATGGTCAAAATAAGCTTCTCATGAAAGAATATAAAGTTAAAAGTAAGAGAGGGTGACCATTCGGCTATATAACTTATCAAGTTGATATTATTAACGATTAAATATATGCAAAAGAAGAATCTTCTTCCCTTCTTAAAATAAATATGTGAAAGGCTTGCACATTTTTCAAATAATAGTGGAAATATTTATATTTCTGAAGAAAGCCTACAATTATGTAACAATATATAAAAAATATTTTCAAATTTGTGTGATCTAACACGCCGTTTGACCGTTGGTCATCATCAAATGAAAAAGTTGAAATTAAATACGTATCCCATCCGCCCTCATTATTACGCATACTAGTTGAAAGAGTTGCATGCAAAATATATTCTGATTTTGCCATGCAAAAACTTAATTCTTACCAAGTCTCTACAATTACTTAAAAGGTTGCTCTATTTTCCGCTGATGGTTGCCAAATGACTGCGAAGCAGAGGCACCTTTTGAAGTTCAAGATTTTGAAGAAGTCAACCCAGTGGTCCCAGTAGTCAAACCCTTTAACTGAAAGGGAAGGATTTGTAAATAATACTTCAAAAATTTGATGACCACTAATATAATTCTTTAACAGATATTCGACCATCCTCACCGGGTTGGCAATAGTAGTCCGGTCCAGTCAAGTCTGACAAAATTTTAAAAACGGACTCCATCCCTGACTCGGGCTAAATGAAGTCTGCCAGCACTTTATCTTATTTCTTATCTGGTCCACTTACTTTTTACAATGAAATCATTACATCTAGCAACACAATCTTCGTCTCAGATGAGATACGGCTTTTACAACTCTCGACTTTTTCTCCGTGATACTGAAAGTACTCCATTTTCTCTTTAAAACCTCGGAATCTTAACTAAATCCCGTGCTGTAGAGATTGGTGGCCTAGTTAAAAAACAAGTTGGGCGAGGGACCCTTTGTTGCATGACAATAGATATAATCTAACCGGAAACACCATCGTAGTAATGGAACCACCACTACCACTCCTCGACGTGGTTTAAATTAAGTGACGCCTCCAGAGACGGGATTTGTCGCTGGAGTGGTTTCCTCTTCTGTCGCACTCGACCACGACGTTTCTCT